CCGGCCTGGCGTAGTTTTGATTGTGTTTTGGTAGGGGCTTTTATATGGGGTATTTTAGAGCAGGCTTTTTATTTAATATTTATTGTGATTTTTATTATCGCCTGTTCACCGCCCTGAGTCCCGTAAGGGAGATAGGGCGGTATATAAATTTAAATAATAAATAAATAAATAAATAAATAAATAAATAAATAAATAAATAAATAAATAAATTCCAAAGGAACAGTCACCCAGCAAGCCATAACTAGAATGAACAACTAAAATACCCCCCATACATACTGAAGCAACTTGATGCTTCTCTGGATCCCAGATTAATATGAATAAAATTGGGGGGGGGGGAAGAGATTTGAACGTACCTTTTGGATTATTTGAAGAAGAATACTCCATTTTAGATTCATCTTAAAAAGAAAAAGATATACCATCAAAACATGACAATAAAAACTGAACAATTTCCCAGAATAATGTAATATTAGGAAGAGATATGAATTCAACGGAGAAAAGGTGAATCTGGGTATGAATGGCCATACATGATATACCTATTGGCCACTTATTTAAACAACTGTGTTCTTCCCTGGGTTTTGAAATTACCTGCATAATCACAGAAAAATAATTATTTGATCTGAGGAGGTGCTAACGTGTGCAACATTTTCATCTACAAACTCTGTGAATCACCTTTGCTGTGCAGATTAGACTGCTGCATCGCTCTATTTAATATTGTATTTAATATAATTTTGAGTAATACTTCTTTTCTAAAGAAACTTATACATACCTATGGCCCATGCATAGCATCTCACTGTTTTATTCAACATGAAAACTAGACTAGATGTAAATGAGATCTATTTTCATTGGGTATTCCTAGTCAGAAGCTCAAAAAAATGTGTACTTGAAGAAAATTCAATCTTTTCCCTTAAGCATAGTATTTTATTTGTCTTATCATCAGAAAGTATGGCTGGTGAAAATGTAAACAAAAACCTGAATGTTCACAATACCTAGAGGGTGAAACTATGTCTCAGAAGACAGATGTTGCCTCTCTCTTAATTGGCCTTCCAAAACCTAGGAAATACATTTAGTTTGATATATAAAACTGATTTCAGTGGGACTTCAATACTAATCGATTTGCAGTTTCCCTGATTAGCAAGATGGTATGAAACAGCAGCTGATTTTGTGCTGTTCTTTAGATTATTTTACAGTGTTGGCCTGAAAACTCATTATAAACTGTACCAAGAAATGAATAAATAAGAAAAATCAGTAACAGATAAAAAAAACTGATGCTTTTAATGGATAATTAAAAGTATTTTTATTACTACCTTAATGCAATTCCAATTCTAAATATTAAGAAATTTATGCATGTTATTTGGTAAGCCATAGCTACCAAGATGCAAGTACAAATGTTAGTACTCCACAAATTCTAATTAGTCTAACAGAATGTATTAAAACAAACTGAATGAAATCAAGTTACTGCATAAGAAAACTGTACCTTTGTTAAATCATTGAGAATATTTTCCCTCTCTATGGGACTGCTGCAGCAATGGAGAATGCTATATAAAATATCAACCAGGAAGTCTGTCTCTTTTCTCCAATCTTCTTTCAGCCAAACAATTAACTTTTCATGCAGAAACTGAATAGATGGATTTTCATATTGAACATCGTTTCTTTCTTCTACAAGCACCTGGAAAACTTTACGAGAAGCAAAGTTGCTGAGCAGAGCAGAGAGGAACTTTAAGTGTTGGTCAGATGTCTGTTGACTGGTGTACCCTATACTTAATACTGCAAGTTTACAAACTAAAGCTTCTAAAGATTCATTCTGTAGAGGAAAAACATGTTTTCCATGAATTTCATGAATAACATTACTGGATTCATTGCTAGTTCTCAAGTCAACAAAATTCTCACGTTCGGTGTTAATTTCAGCTTTTCTGTCTTCTGCAAATCTTACATTTACAACTTTTTTCCTATTTTTTTTCATCTTGTTTTCTGGGTTCTGCAGAATTTGCAACAAAGAAGACATGGCAGCCAGCGATTTCTCAT